TATTGATGGATAAACAGTTAGAAAAAAGCCATGGAAGATTATCTCAGTACGTGATTACTTGGTGAGATGACTATATCCACAGAGATGGAAAGATCTGACACTACCCACTATGGAGGAATGGTTAGTAAAGTTGACAGATTTTTGCTGAAATGGATAAATTGACTTATTTGATTAGAGAAAAGACACTGTCTATGTTTATTGGCAAGCCTTTTATGGACTTCTTGTGTAAAAAGGGAAAAAATGAACTTGTGATTTATGGCTTTGATGATTAGACAGGATAGATTATAGAAAGAAGTGTATTACGATGTAACTCCAGAGAAAGAGGTTAAAATATAATTGTACTAAATAACTACTGTGAAGAATACCAGAAGCCACTTCTCTATCTTTTTTCTTTCTTTTCTATTTTCCTTTAACTTTTTTCCTTGCACTTTTTGACTTCTTTCTTTCTTTTTTCTTCCGTACTTTATATTAGCTTGTATTTTTTATCTTATTGTTCAAAAGTTTCAATAAAAATCATATTTAAAAAAACATTTTTGGGGAGACACACAAAATATTTAAAAGAAATTGCTTCTACAGCCTCAAAAGCAAACAAGCAGCCTATTTTTAAACTTTCTTCTGACATCTGCTCTATGGGTGGTGTTTGGATGGCTTTGATCTGTTTCTCTTTTGTATTTTAATTGCAGATTGGCTTGGAGAATTATTATTCAGAAAGACAATGAGTGAAGCTTAGAAATAATAAGGATATTCTGCATTCTTTTCATTTGTGTTTTGCTATTGTAAATTCTTCCCAGTTTTGGGGGAGATAGACTTAGGGCCAGAAAGCTCTTTTTTTATATTTCTGTGGAGAAAGGTTTATGCCCCTACAACAGCTTAACATAGATGTTATGCAAAGGATCTGTGTAGTTCCCCCCAATTATTTATTTTTACTTTTTCATGGAGCAAAAGAGATTGTGAACTGGCTGGTTAAGCTTTTGCAGAACTACCTTTATCCTGGCAGAATAAGAAATGCACCTGAAGCCTCTGTTTCTCATGGATAATAGATGGCTTGTACAATAAGGAAACTCTTGAGCATACTCCTGTTTGGAAGGTCACTGACTACATGGTGTATCCATTTTGACAAGTATACATCTATGTCTAAACAGATGCCAGCTCATATATTTGTTTTTAAGCCTCAGAACAGGACTACGTATGAGTATAGCTGTGTTTTAATAACAAAGAAGATTCTTTCTGCTTGATGCTTTCAAGTGATCTTAGCATCCTCTGTTATGTAATATGATCTTTTATAAAAGACATACTGGCCTTATACTATTTATGAAGTTACTAGGGCAAGCTCACTAGAATGGCTAAAATAAGTGTGTGTGTACACACACACACACACACATACACACTGTAGCTAAAAATACTTGACTTGACTTGCAAGGGAGAGATATAACAGCTTGAGAAGGCTAAGAAGTTCCACTGGATCATACTAGTTGATTTAGGCCAGTTGACTTAGGCCAGAAAGGGAGGCAGAAAAGGTGCCATCAAGAAACATTCACACTGGCCAAAAACTCACAGGATACTAAGAATGCCTCTCTCAGGAACCTGGAAATGATTTCCAACATTGACTGGCCTGTTCTTCATAATACTCCCATTTTGAAGGTATATATAAGTTCTAATTAATGGACCTCATGTGAAGCAGTTGTGAATATGGATCCACATTGTACCATGAGGGCTTTTGATACTGATAGAGATCTGTTATCAACTCCCAAAGCCTCTAGTAGTTACAGATAAGCAAACCTAATTTGGGATGGACATAAATGAAGGAAAGGGAAAACAGCACAATTTACATTTCAAGAGAACCACTCCTTATATCATACTTTACTGTTTCGATCTTACACAGTGCCGCATTTTTGAGCACTTCCTATGCAGAGCAGTTTTCTTCATAAGAAAGGGAATGCCCCCATTTTAAATCTTCAAAATGTTACTGAACAATTTTTTTTCTTGACTTTCCAATGCAATTGTTAGCAGCTTCAGATCATATTTCTGAGCATTTCCAAATCAAATTGAATGCAATAAAACAGTTACAATGAAAATAAGTACTACAGTTAAGCCCCTATCCTCCCAATTATCTAATAATCCAAGTTGTGGATATACCTCTCTAAAAGTCCTGGGAACCCAAGCAGTTTGCAATTATATGATTATCCATGTTCCATCGCTCTATTCTTTGCTTCATAAATTACATGTTACAATCACATGGCCCAAAATGTCAGACATTCTTGTTGGGCAATGTAAACTGAGTATTATTCCTTGTCTATCAATAACCTTGAGCAATTCAGGTTTTAATTCTTATTGTTACTGTTTTATTCACATCCTGCTTTTCTCCAGGAGTTTTAAGTAGCTTACATAGGAATCACCCTTTATTTCATTTCCACAACAATCCTGTAACATAGGCTGGGCTGAGACATAGTGTCACAAGTGAGCTTGCCCTGCAGAGGATGGACTTGAACTTACTGTAGATCTCTTCAGTCCTAGTTCAAAGTATTAACACCTACACCACATTGGAGCCATTCTCTTTAGGTTCTGTAGCCTTTGAAAAATTGTATGACATTGTATATGTCATTCTCACTCACTGATCTAGGTCCCATCTGCTCCCTCTAGGCCCCACCAGTAAAGCAATATTATCTTGTGGGATCTAGAAAATAGGCCTCCTCTTTGACTTTAGCTGCAGAACAGTATGCCCCTGTAAGTCTATATGGCCTTGAGCCTCACAGTTCTTTAAAAACTTGGTTCTTCCAACTGGCCCTGGATTCATGCCTTATGACTGTTAGTGAACTTTATTTTGCTCTTCCCAAATGTGCTGTTGAATATTCCTCCTCCTCCTCCTCCACCTCCTCCACC